ATGCCGGCTCCGCAGCCAGGATTTCACTGGTGCCAAGTGCCGACTGCGGTCTTCGGCGTGGCGTCTGGCCAACAGACCCAGGCATCCCTTCCTGCTCAAAAGGGAGCTGAGGCAGCTTCTTCTTGGAAGGACTCCTCCCGGTGGCAAGAACAGTCCACCCCGTGGAAGAGCCAGCAGTCTTCATGGGGCAAAGGTTGGGGGCACTCTAAGAACTACGGCTCCAGCAGCTCGTGGCAGGGCTCTGGAGGCAATCGGCGTGAGAAGTGGGACAAGCCCAAAGGCTGGAACAAGTGGCCCAAGCCTGAGCAAAAGCCGGCTAAGGAGCAGTATGGGCGAGGGGCTGCCCCCAAGGAGGAGGAGCCGGAGATTCTCCTCGACCCAGTGGCTGGGATTTTTGGAACCCGGCAGCAGGGGCCGCCTGAGAGGCCCGACTCTGCATTCAATGTTGCGGAGGCGACGGAGGAGGAAGTTCAAGCGGCGGCCAATCGCAAGGCTGAGCGCGAAGAAGAAGGGTTCCACAGTCAGCTCTGGCAGGGGGCGATCGCTAAGGCCCTCGCAGACCCCTCGCGACCCAAGTGTGCCCGAGAACTGATGCGTGAGGGCATCTTGCGAAGCTGGTGGAACATGTCCTGGAAGGACGCCCGAGGCCTCATTGACGGGACCTTGGTGGACGAGTATCGCGATCGGTTGATGCTGTACATGGCAAAGTACAAGAATCCCACCGAGGTGCCGCAGCCGATTGTCGAGCGCTGTGCATGCTTGTTCGCGTGGTTCAAGCAAAACTCCAGGCAGCTGGACATTGAAGGGGACTTCGATGCGGTCATGTTCGCAGTGCCAGGGCAGAAAGTGCTGTGCTTTCGCACAAAGCTGACAGGGCCATCCTTCCTGGAGCCCGCAAACCACCGCTACACGATGACAATGTCCCACGGCTTGCCGTGGACAGCAGCCATGGGTGTGGGCGAGTATGGGGAGATAACCCCGGGAGACTTCACGGACGGCGACTTCCCGTCGTACGGATTCAGCGGCCGAGGGGTCTGCAACGACTCCGGCTTTGAAGGTATCAAAGCCTCAATCTCCAAGGTGGCTGCAAGAGCCAAAGGAAGGGACGTCATCTTCTCGATGGAAGGGCTCCTGCAGGAGAATACGCCCCAGGTGGAGGGGGGCATGCCGGCACTGAATGCTGCTTGCCGAGATGCAGGCAGCGCGCGGTCAGGGGACCACCTGCTTTTGAGTCCCACCTGTGCAGTTTTGAGGGCCGTATCCGTAGCCTGGCCAATCTGAGCCAAGAGCCGAAACACTGAGCCTCGATATAAGCTCGTCGGGAGCCATAAAAGAGTGTCCCGTTCTGACAGGGCGAGTGAACTTTCGCTTTGTCATCATGTTTGCAACAGAAATTTTGTCTTCCTCACATGTTTCTTTCATGCGGGTATCGAGAGTTTTGGGTCAGTTTTGGTTCAAGCCCCAGATGGCTGGTCACCTAAGAGCATCGGAGGTGCCTTCTGACAGCGAGTCGGAAGGCCAAGAAGTTAACCAGCATCGTGTTGCTCAGGTCTTGATTTCTGCAGGACCACCGAATGTGCAGCTCCCCTGGGAACAAGGAATTTTCAGGGACATCTTCGCACCTAGACCAGTGGTGTCATTGGACTGGCCAGAGCCCAAGGTTCTTGTCAATGTGGATGAAGCCGAACTATCGTCTACACCAGGTCCCAGCGTTTTGCAAGACAAAGACAAGACGCCAATCACAGGTGTCTTCAGCTCCTCACCGGGAGCTAATGTTTTCAGCAAAGTGATCAAGTGCAAAAAGAAAGATGAGCCTTTTGAGGAGGCTGTTGCAGGCATGTGGTTGAAAAACATGCAGATGTGGAAACAGCTGTTCGAGGCCTCCCCGTCCACCACTTTTGCCAAAACATTACAGGAATTGGACGAAGAGGAGAAGATGTTGTCCCTTCGTGACATGTTTGGATCGAAATCACCACACACAATCCAGAAGCGTGCATCAACCTTGTTGAGATTGTTTCGTTGGCTTCAAAAACAGGCCGATGTGCAAGGGACCTCTGTGGAGGAACCCCTTCTCCCATCAGAGGAAGCGGTGTACAAGTTCTGCAGAGAGATATCCCACAGGAAGAAGGGCAAGCTGGCACCTCAGAGCGTGGTACAAGCGTTGAAGTTTGTGAAATTTGTGCTTTCCATTCCAAATGTGGAGAATTCCATCTCCCCCAGGGTCCAAGGCTTGGCCGACCGAGTGGCAGGCGAGCACGAGCCCACACATCAAGCCCGGGACCTAACAGTGCTTGAAGTTAGGTTTCTGGAAGAGTGTGTTTGGAACGCTGAGCTCCACATTGTCGATCGATTTGCAGCAGGGGTATTCCTGTTTCAGATTTTCAGCAGGAACCGTTGGTCGGACATCAGGCACGTGCGATCCTTGGAGTTCGATTTTCTGGAGATCGGCCCCGAAATCTGTGGTTTTCTGGAAGGCAGGGCCAGGGAGGTGAAACAGTCCAACAAGAAGAAGAAACTCTCGTTGTTCATGCCCCTGGTGGCTCCAGTTCGGGGGGTCCACCCGACGGTGGTTTGGGCCAAAGAATGGCAGAAAGTGGCTGCCGAAGCAGGGATCGTGCTCTCGAAGACCCCTGTAGGCCCTTTACTACCGGCCACCGCCCCAGACGGTGCCTGGCTGCAGAGGTCCATCGACTCCGCCGAGGCCTCCAACTGGCTGATGGGACTGCTAAGGAACCGCGACCCCTCAACAGCGAGGGTTACCACACATTCCTTGAAGCACACTGCTCTGGGCTGGTTGAGCAAATACGGCATTGTGGGCGAAACACAGACACTCTTGGCACATCATTCTACTGGAGCGTTGAGTACATTAGCTTACTCAAGAGACGCCCTTAGCGGCCCCCTCCGGCAGCTAGAGGAAATGCTAAAGCAGGTGCGGGAGGGCTCGTTTTGCCCGGACGCTACTCGAAGTGGATACTTTGCCCGTGCCCAAGGATCAGAGGCAGGTGCGTCTGTTGACCTCGGGTCCTGGTTGCCGATCAGCAAGGCAGGCAGCTTAGATGGGCTGCCCGCAAACTCCGAAAGCACGCATGAACCTTTGCCAGCTACAGCGGAAGGCTTTGAGGACGATTTCCTGGGGGTTGGACCGCTTTGCTCTTCGCAAGGGAAGGTTTTTGAGTCACCAAGTGCCATGCCTGTCTTGGAAGCATCCGCGCCGTCGGTAGCGGAAGGAGACGAATCCCCCTCGAAAGAAAGTGAGGAATTAGACAGGTTGGCTACCGTGACTTCTGGGCTTTGCGAGGCGTTGTTCGATAAGGACGACACACAAGGTGCAGATGATGACGAGGAGGCAGAGATCTCGCCCACCACATCAGCAGACGGGTCCTCCGAGGAAACCTCTGATGGAGCTTCGTCGGAAGAAAAAGAGGAACCAGCTTCGACCCTGAGCCTACCGGAGGGTTGGAGCGCGATCCAGAACAAGAAGTCTACCATGTTACATCTGTACAAAGTAGGTCAAACGACGCTGAAATGTGGGAAGTGGATAAGCGTCAATTTTGTAGAAATGGAGAAGCCCTCAGCGAAGTGGCTACAGTGCAGCCGTTGTTTTCAGGAGTAAAGAGAGGGGTGACGCTGTTGTTGGCCGGTTTGTGTGCTTGTGCAACACCATCCCTTTGTACCAACTCTCTCTCTTGCAAGTTGCAGTTTTGGCCCCACGCCCTAAACATGGCAAACGCAGCGGATAGTCAGCCTTTCTTCGAGCAACATGCTCGCAAGATCGGAATGGAGCAGCCACTCTTGGACAAATTCATAGCTGGAGGGGTCAAGACGGTGTCCATGGCAGCCTATGCCGCCACTCAACCGGGCCAACCTCTCACAGATAGGGAGGTCTCCACTCTATGTACGAGTCTGGGGCAGAACAACCCCACTCTTGCACAGATGACGGTTGTCAAGAGGCTCCTGTTCGAGTGCCAGACCATGAGCTTGGCAAACTTGAAGGCAACCGTGGAACAGCAGCCGGACTCAGTCCTACGTAAGCTGCCAGGAGCTGAGAGAGCCCAGCGCCTGGAATTGCAGGCTCAAAGGCTGGGCGGACTCTCGATTGAGCATGACTTGGAGCCCGCCTTTTCAGTATATGATGCCGTGTCGACACAGGTAGAGCAAGGGTCGCTGAAATACCTGCACCCGAGCAAGATTCCCACGCGTCGCCAGGAATTGGCGCAAGGCAAGCCAACCAAGGAACTTGTGCTGGATGCTTCGGGGGATGGCCTCTCGGTTCAAGACAAATCCTCTAAAGTAGAGGCCCAGTTGGGGTCAGACATGGCGACTTACAGGGCGTTGCAAAGACGGGGTCTGGCCTACGACCTCGTTGGCATTTTGAGTTTCAAGGTGCACGAGAAATGGCTTCAGAAGGCCTTTGCTACCTTGCAAACCCCACCGCCCCCCAGGCTTCAACCGTCCGACGCTGCAGCAGGTCCTGCGAGCAGATCGGGCCTTGTGGATGGAGCTTGGCAGCAAACAGCCGACCCTGACAAGGGCAGCGGCGAACGCGCCGCTTGCAGACGCCCGGTGCTCAGATCAAGTCTTTCTGGAAGCCACCAACACGGTTGCAGTCAATTTTCACTTCATGCCGACACCTCGTGCGGAAGGGTTCCCAGATAGAGGAGGCAAAGGCGCTGGCAAGGGCCCCAAGCGCTGGGGTGATGGAAAAGGGTATGGACAATGGAAATATCAGAGGATCGACAAAGGAGACAAGGGCCAAGGAGGCAAATCAGGCCTCAAGGGGGCCCGCCTCCCCACAAAGGGCAAATTTGACAGTGGCAAGGGAGGCTTTCCGAACAAGTCCCTTGTCTTGCAAGGAGGCAAGGGGGAGACCCCCATGCCGGCCGCCTTGCGAGGCGGAGTGCCGAACGACGAGCAAGGAGAGCCTCTTTGTTTTGGCTTCAACCTAGGACAGTGCAAGGACGCCCCCTTGGGGGGCAGATGTGCACGTGGCAGACATGTGTGTTGTCACCCAGGTTGCTTCCGGAAGCATCCCTTTTCTGAGCACAAGCATTCAGGCCAGGTAGCCTGAAAGAACGCCCCGCTGCAAGGGACGTCGAATGACAGCGCTTCTGCGCTGGACCAGGCGTCCCGAGCTGCTTTGACCGCGCGTCGCACAGAAGCGTGCGCGGTAAGAGCAGAAACAGCCATGGGGGAGGGTGGAGACAGTTCGGCCCAATTCTGTGAACAGAACAATTTTCCCGCTTCTGAGGCGGACAGGCCCGAAGAGAGCTGCAAGGACTCGTACCCTGCTGCTATTGCGAAAGGGCAAGAGAAGCAGCCCCCGTTCAAGCGGGTGGCTGAGCCAAGCCCACAATTTTCCAAGCCTCCAGCTGAGGCTTCTGCATTTTCACCTCAGGCGAGTCATCACGGTGCGCATAGGTCTGGACAAGCGCAATGTACTGCGCCCCAGACCATACAGGAGTGTTGGGTTTTGGAAATTTTCGCGGGGTCGGCCGGGATTACCTCGGCAGCTGCTTCAGCCGGCCTCAAGCGGTCAGTCGGAGTAGACAATGTCCGCATGCCGAGGCGCAAGGGCAAGATCATACAGCTGGACCTGCTCCTGCTGTCGCACCAAGGTCTTCTGTGGAAATGGCTGGGTTCTCCAGGACTGGTCGCCGTATGGCTGGCGCCGCCCTGCGGCGCATCCAGCAGGGCCAGGGAAATCCCGTTTTCGGGGGAGGACGAGCCGCGTCCTTTGCGGTCAGTGGAGTGCCCGGAAGGGCTCCCAGGCCTTGGCCCAAGCGATGCAGAAAGGGTGGCAAAGGCTAACGAGCTTTACCGGCTCACGGCCCGAATCTGGGACTTCTGCTGCGAAAATGACATTGTGGTAATCATAGAGAACCCCTATCGCAGTTTCTTCTGGCATTGCAGCGCCATTGAACATATCCTCAGGAGTGAACAAGCGATCGTGGTCCAGTGCGACTTTTGCATGATGGGAGGTTCGAGATTGAAGCGGACGGCCCTGCTGTGCAACAGCGACCTCATCACAGGCCTGGCTGTCACGTGTGATGGATCCCACGAGCACCTGCCCTGGAAAGTGCAGGAGGGAGTTCTCGCAACAAAGCTTGAGACTGCGTATCCACACCAGTTTTGTAAGCACTTTGTTTCCCTGCTGCTGCAGCATCTGACACAGAAGGGCTGTCGGGATGGTCTGAATCTCTTGGAGGCAGATCCCGCAAACTCCTCAGGAGCCAGGGTGGTAACGACACAGGCGAAGACCAAAAGGGCTGCATCGTTTCAGGTTATCCCCGAATTTCGCAGACGAATCAGATGGACAGTGCCCGGCCAACTCCGTAGTGCTCTCCAGACTACACAGTGGTTGGCACCGGACAGGATCCCGGGCTTCAAGGCGCCAGGAGCCCCGGCGCTGAGAGTGACGCCCCTGCTGTCTTCTGCGACGGATGTGCTGGTGGAAGTCCCGTGGAACCCACAGGAATTCGTGGCGAAAGCCCGACTGGCCGGCCACCCCGGCACCTGTGTCTCGGGGTGCCACCCGCCCTGCGGAAGGCAATTTTGGCGTGTTCTAAACAGCTTGCAACCAAGGTGATTGAGACTCGAGCAGCGCAGTCACGGAGATGGCTCCAGCGAGCCCAGGAGCTGCAGTTAGCTGAAGACGACTTCAAAGCCAGGCTGCCCGAGCACATCCGCAGCAGCCTCCGTAACAAGAGAATACTGCTCTTCAAAGAGATGCTAGAAGCGTCCCACTACGCCGACAAGGCAGTGGCAGACGACCTGGCACAGGGTTTTGATCTTGTGGGGCATTTGGACCTTCCGGCAGGCTGGTCCACCGACTTTCGTCCAGCATTCCTCTCCCTGAAGGACCTGTCCCAACTGACGCAGGAGACGAACCACCAGGTCATCAAGGAAGTTGAGGACTCATCTCAGTTCCTGGAAGAACTGTGGCAGAAAAGTCTCGATGAAGTATCAAAAGGCTGGTCGGAGGCTTCTCTGCCTTCCATTCGGCGCTGTGGCGGCGGTCCATGCATTCATCAGGGTCAGCCTGGCTATTTGTCATATAGGAAACACGTTCTGGCACTTACCTTGGAGCTCTTTTTACGATGACTTCACACTGTTGTCAACACGACAGCTGGCCACTAGCGCAGAGGCCAGTGCATGTTTTCTGCTAGACTTGCTCGGCTTTGAGTTTGACAGAGACGGAGACAAGGCCCAGCCGTTCCAGGAGGTCTTCAGATCTTTGGGGGTCGAATTTGACCTTACAGACAGCAGCAAGCAGATAATTAGGATCCAGAATACAGCAGAGCGGACCAAAAGTCTCATCGAAGACCTGGCAGCCTTTCAGGAGCAAGGAGCCTCAAGCCCTAAGACCTGGAATCGACTGAGGGGAAGGCTGCACTTCGTGGCGGGCCAACTCTCTGGGCGCTTGCCGAAGGGCTTCATGAGAAGAATCTCTGACATCATCAATGCCCCCGCATATGTCAGGAGACAAAACCAAGCCTCCCT